TTATATCCGGGTGGCACTGACCAGCCTGTGTGTCCCTCCTGTGCTGTTTGTTCTGCACAGGCATTCGTACTGTGGACCAGTTTGGACAGGTAATCAGGTGGGACAGCTGTAAGTCAGGTAGATGAGAATGGAATTCATTGTGTGTAATGATGAAGGTGCTGAAAAAGACTGGGAGGGCTATGAGTAAGAACTGGTCAGGGGAAATGGTGGACACAGCAAAGAATGAGAGAAGGACCACTCTCCTAAGGTGCTCGAGTAATAGGGGCTCAGTAAATTCTGGGTGTGAATTAAAGAATCATAGCGGTATATTCAACTTCTTAAATCCTCAGTTACTGCAGAAAGGGATTTAGGAAAGAGTATTCACTTTCAAACAGAGTACATAAATATATATGTGTAAATAAATATACACACATGCATATTCTTTCCAATAACCTAGGACATTTTCCCCTGAATTTCTCTTAAGAATAAGGTGGACAGAGGGCAAATCCGACCTGACTGCCTAGATGATGTAAAGTATCTCCCCAACTCAAACTCTCAATCTGGTGAGATTAATTTTATTAAGTTTACTTGTTTGGATCAAGGCCACATATTCAGAGGACAACTGTTCAAATCCAAGCAGGAATAGGACACACTGTTAGGAGCTATTAGCAAAGAGGAAATACAAAATAAGATAGTTTACTCTCTCTGTGAGGGCAAGAGAGAAAAGAGCAGTGAGAGAAGGCAGTGTAGAGAATGCACCAACATCTGGGCTAGGTGTGCTGTTTGGAAGTTGCCTTAGATACTTTACGGAACAAGGTATTGTGGATAAGTATATGCTGTCAAATACTATCCATCCTTACTACAGATGTGTATAACCTGGAAAGACCTTTTAGGAGTCAGAGCAAGGGTTCAAAGAAGAAGTGGATTCACAGTTGGAGAAAAGAGGATGAGGAAGACAATTGCACTGTATCGTGACACTAATGTTCCGATTCGGGGAATGGAAACTGTTTCCTTCCAGTCCATGATATTCTGGTTCCATGTGGATTTTTAACAATACTAGTTAGTTCTGATCTTACCAAATAAATACAAAACATCTTCTAATAGATATATCTCCAGCCCCACTAACCCCTGCCCTGAGAAAAAAAAAAAAACACTACTTTTTCGTGATGGGTCTTATTTATGAATGGATGTCTTCCGTGGAAGATTTTATAACTTGCGGCGTAAATGATGCAAATATCCCTTGTTAACTTCATGAAATGTCACAGCTGAAAAAAAAAAAAAAAGCAAGAACGGTGTGTTTTGAACCCACCAGTCCATAGCTGGAATCCTCCCTATCACTTCTTAGAATTTGCGGTTCTACTTTACATACATGTAGGAAAATGAATCTTATAGGCTGTTAAAATTCAACAGGAAATTTAAGCCAACATGCCGTGTGGCGTGCTTCATGTTTCCTTCTGCCAGTCATTTCACAGTGCTTTCATCTTTAATTTCCTTGAGAGTATGCATCGTGAGGCAAAGTTGGTAATTACCCAGACAGACTTCAGGTGCTAAATATTATTCAAACAAACCCAGTGAATGGCATCCACAATAAAGAGCAGGGAAACAAAGATTGCAGTGTTTCATTGCAGCCTGACACCCTCAGGAGAACAGAGAGCACAAGGCAAACCCATAAGTATTTATATGCTCCCTGAGCTGTATGGAGAAAGTTCACAGGAAGCAGTTAAAGACACAGCAACTAAACCCAGCACTGAACTGGATTTCTTTGGAATCTTGCTGTTTTGTACAGTTAAAAGCCAGATGAAAAACATATCATTATTAGTCAATCTTGATGATAATAGAGTTTGGTTTTTAAGGTGGCTTTTCCACCACGTGTGCCTTGACAAAAATCTTACAAAGAAAACCTTCTTATAGGAACTGTATGGCTCACCTGGTTGATCCCAGAGGTACAGTCGCTGTTCACTGCCGTGTAAGCACTTAGAGTCCCGGCTGAATCGTGCCTCCCCAGGGACCATTTGGGGGAGGGAGGAACCCAAGGAGAGGCTCTCCACTATTGTTAAAATGGAAGCAAAGAATGCTGTGACACGGACGCAGCAGACCACGGGTCCATGCATAAGACTGGGATAGAACCCAGTGCTGCTTCGTCCTTTAAAGAGAAGACGAGCCAGACAGGCTGCCAGATGCCACAGTAGGGAAACTTCTGCCCTAAATTCATCTGTCAGTCATCCCCAAGTGTCATTTTATCTACTATATTTCTGCTTTCCTGTGCCTCAGCTCCCGTGCCACCATGTAAATGAAGCTTACCCAATATCCTCCGATCAAAATCATTCTTTTCCCCCTCTAGTTTCAGTTGCACTGTTTGCCCATCTACACTGGTCCTCAACACTTTCTGGCTTGTGTCATGACCAACTGTACACGTCTGTCTCTCCCGCTAGTTTGTTCCTGGAGGGAAGGGTCTAAGACTGATACTTTTTGTATTTCCGATATTAAGTTCTCAATAATAATTATAACAAAATGACATTTATTGAGCCCTTATGCCCTGGGCATGTTACTTATGTCATTTAATGCTTACAGCACTGTAAGCATGATGATAAAGAACATGGACTTTGGAGTCAGACACCTGTGTTCACCCTCCCTCCTCTGCTGTCAGCCAAATGACCTAGAAACAGATGGGATTCCATTGCCAGTCTTCTGAAGTACAGCCTCAACTCTATTCTACCTCCATAGATAACATTTAATCGAATTAGACCTATTCACTGATAACCAAACTCATTATTACTCCTTATCACTAAACAATCCTAAGGCTACCCTCATTAACTTGTGACTTAATGTATTTAGGTTTTTAGACTTATGTAATGGATAATGATTTAGCTAATCATATCAATAGTAGTAATTCTTTACATTTCTTTAGTATTTTGCCATTTTCGCAGTCCTTTCGCACGAGTCATCTCCACTGATCTTCACACCATCCTTGTAATGGGCGGGACAGCTGTCATTTTCCCCATTTTATTGATGAGTACAATGAATCTACAGAAGATAAACGTCCAGACTGTTGCAGAGCTACAACTTGAACTCAGACTTCTAAATCCATCCACAGGGTTCTTACCTCTACCTTGCCTTGTCCCTCAGCATCACTCACATGTAAACATACACTCACTGGAAGGCACCAAGAACCAGGTGCTGAGCCAGAGCCTTCAATGGTTCAGGTTGTCTGATAACCATAGCAACTGTCACTCTCCTCATGGCAAATGAGATCACCCAGCACACACTGGCTCTCAAGATTTAAGTTATAAGAGACGAGGCATTTTCCACAGAGGGCCGTTAAGTTTGGAATTCCCTTCCCCTGGCCTGTCATAGCCCTGGAGTATTGGTCTTCTGGGTCTTGGCAAACCATATCAAGTTGAGTTAGCCAGCTGTGGTTGGTCAGAAATCCTAATGGGCAAGAAGAAAGTGCTAAATTGACTTTTAGTAGTAAGCAATTTGTAATTTTGTGTTTTTTGCTCTTTGTATCCCTTAGGATAACTAACCAGCCATATATAATTCTCATTTTTTAAAAATAAAATTTTAGTCAGCAGTTTGCATGATCTTGTTTCTGTGTTCTTACATCATGTCGCACATGATGTGGTGGAGAAACCTGTAGGGAAGTTTTTGTTTTTTTGCATAAACTATTTTGCAGTAATTGACCAGCCACAGAGAAAAGATGCTCTCCTGTGCACTCTCAGCGAGTTCTCTGGTCGCCAGAGACCAATAAGCCGTGTCCCTAGAATTATTATCACTTTGTTGAAGAAGCTGCTATGTGAACAAAAACCAGCCTTCGTTAATTTCCCTTTTCGTGTTTAAAAAACCTTGTCAGGGTTTTCCCTTTGGGAGTGTATAATTTGTCAATAGTGCATATTATTTTAGTTCTAAAGAGGAAAGATATAGAGCAGTAGATCCTTATTAATATCTCTTATTTATCTTCATACCAGATCTTAACGCTTCCACGCAATAAAATTCTCCACATTTTAGGTTAGATCACAGTATACGTCTTAACTTTCATTTCATGGGAATATAAAATTTTAGAAATGTGAAACACTTGAGACTCGGTTTAATTCCATACGCCCACCGCCAACACACACACAAACACACAGAGTATTTGACTGATGGAGGAAGTGGTTGGTGCAGGGGTTGGCCTGAGCCCACAGAGTAGTCACTGATGGAATCAAGATGTATATTCTCAGTCTAGTGCTCTTTCCATTGGACCCTGCAGTGTGTGTATCTGTTTTTAGCTCCCCAGCTACTTAGCTTATAGCTTCTAAAAGCAGGGATGATCCTTAGATGTCCCTATTAGAACTGCTTGGTAAATGCTTGTTAACTAATGTCAGACTTCGTTTCAATGTTACAAGAGCCCTGAATGTTACACCTCCTTTTCAATGTCTATTCTTTTTTATTCAGCCTCTTCTGTGGATAGAAAAAATTTGGGAATGGTAAAGTGATATATGATAGAAAGAAATTTGATTCAGCTTGACCATCGTTGCTTCTAAATATATATATTTTTTATTAAGGTATAATTGATATATAACATTATATTAGTTTCAGGTGTACAACATAATGATTCGATATTTGTATATATTGCCAAATGATCACCACAATAGGTCTAGTTAACATCTGTCCCCATACATAGTTACAAAACGTTTTTTCTTGTGATGAGGACTTCTAAACATCTATATTGAAGTTGAAAGTTGTTTTAAGGAATAAGCTCAGGAATTTAAAGTTATTTACTAATGGTTTAAATTGTGGTGACCAGACTCCTATTACACATTATTCTTTTAAAAAAATTTGTGTATTATTTCCAGCAATGGAAAGGAAACTTAGAGTTTATCTTCAAAATGAAGGAATAAACATTACAAGTCAGCACCTCAACTGTCAGTTTACACATTGTGGATGTTTGTGCTGTTGGAAAAGTTGGTCCAGGAATTGTTTGCCCTGTTATTAAGTTGTATGCACAGTAATATTCTAAATACTCACTATAACCAGCATTATAGTTTGTTTCAGTGTTGGAAGGGGTGTTGTCTAAGCTGTCAAGATATGATGAAGGCACTTTCTTCTCATCCATTCTGTCATTCACTGTAAGTATTTGAATGAGTTCTCTTCTGCTATCTTGTGACTGTTGTCATAGTTCTTATCTAACAGTGAAGAAAATAATTCTTATAATTATCTCTTTTCCACTTAAGGTGAAAGCCGCTGCAAAATATGTTGATGTTCCAGTAAGTATTTTTTTATTTGCTTTTTAAAACTCTATATATTCTTTTTTTAAAAAAAATAATTATGTCTCACCACGGGTTTATTTCAAATCTTTAAACCAGTGCTGCTCCCTCTGGGAGTAGTTTATTTTCCTTAAGTAAGTACTAACCCTCACAACAAGGCTTGGCAAGGTTATCTCAGTGTATTTTTTCCGTTGTGATTTGAGAACTCTTATGGAGGTCAATTCATCATGAGAACCTGTCAGCTCATTGCAGAGGGTGGTTATAGCACTCTAGGATGGGGTAGAAAACGCCTCACACTCTTTATAGAAAAATGCTCACTCTCCCTTCCCTTTATATGAAAGCTATTACAGGTTTCTTAAAGGAGTTACAGTCACAATAGAGATGAACCAGTTAAATCAAAGAAGTAGTTTTCTAAAAACAAAAGTGTTATAAATCAATATTCACTTATATTAACATTTGGTTTTTCGCAGAATTCTTGGGAAATAATTCATAACCTGTAAATTAGTTCAAAGATTAAGAAACCATGAGAGGAAATTATGAAACTTAGCTACAATGAAAAAATTCACATGATAAATATAATCAACACGTTAGTAAAGCAGTTTTAAGTTGATAATCCTAACAAATTATTTTTTGCCTTAGATCCTATTATCACATATATGATCAAGGCCTAAGATATTTTGTTTAATCATATATCTTGCCATTTGCATCAATTTTCAAAGAATTAGAGCACAATATAAAAAAAACAAAATTTAAAATGAGGTGGAATATATAAGTCATCTCATCTTTGATGAAGATGGTGCTTGAGTAGTGTCACAACTCTAGATTACCATTATGAATGTCAGTGGTAAGCTTTGTATATCAGTTGTAGGTGACTCTTATTTCTAAAATATATAACTGCATTTTATACTATGGACTAGTCACCCAGATTTAATGCTGTTACAATTATTATAAATAGACGTTTTAAATGAAAAGGCCATAGACTTTCCTGCCTTTGCATGGGGTTTCTTTGGGTTTTTTATTTTACAAATGATTCCCAAAGAAGTCTTGGCATAGTCCTTGTCTTGTACCTAGAATCAGAAAGTCAGTACTGGGCAATAGGCAGAAATAACCACATGTGTAGGGTCCTGCAAAGGAGCAACACAAAAGAGAGAAAGGGAAAATTAAGGGGAAGAGTTTACATTTGCTATCATAAAAAGAAAGAGACAAGTAATCAGGTGAGCACATGAACTTCATTGGAATTCCTAACCTATTTTATAGCATAGTTTTGTTGTTATTCTGAATTACAAATGGAATGGGGCACCATAATTATTCCTGTTCTTATAAAACTTTTGAAGTTCTTAATTTGACCCTGTACTAAATCTGTAAGATGCCATAGAACTTCAGACTTGTAAGATGCAGAAAGTGGTTCATCCACTCTCCTTCTCAATGCAGAAACCCCCTCACAAAGATTCATTCAGGATCTTTTAATTTTCTCAGTGATTGCAGGCTCACCATAGGACAGCCTCCTCTTATGTATAATGAATTGAAATTCTGTACCTCTGTGAATTCTACCTTGGTACTAAGCCCTCTTCTGCATAATAGCCCTTCAAATATTTGATGATAATTATCATGGCTCCTCTTCCCAAGCGATATGGTAGCTATTCAAAGGCATATATTGTCTGCGGAATTCGTATTTTCTGTATTAGATATTCTCAACTTCTTCATTGAACTCACTAATTAGGTATTAATTTAACACATGCTGAGTGCTAGGCCCTGGGCATACATGATGAAAATATACATTCCCTGCCCACAAGCTGTTCAGTGTCTAGGTATGAAAGAGATAGGGAAATAGACATATCTTGAAAACAGCTATAACAATTGTACCCAGATTCTTTATCAGCCAGTCACTCTTTAGATGAATGCCAGCTTACCAATGTCACTATTGGTAATGTCAGTAGCCCAAGTGATCTAGTGGTTAAGATTCTGTGCTCTCACCACTGTGGCCTAGGTTTGTTTGCAGGTCAGGAAACCACACTCCCCATCTGTTGGTTGTCGTACCGTGGTGGCTGCCTGTTGCTGTGATGCTGAAAGCTATGCCACTGGTATTTCAAATACCAGCAGGGCCCCCCATGATGGACAGGTTTCAGTGGAGCTGCCAGACTAAGACAGAATAGGAAGAAGGTCCTGGCCACCCACTTCCGAAAAAATTGGCCATGAAAACCCTATGAATAGCAGTGGAGCCTTGTCTGATACAGCGTGGGAAGGTGAGAGGATGATGCAAAAAGCATTCTGCTCTGCTGTACACAGGGTCACTAGGAGTCGGAATCGATTCGAGGGCGCTGACAACAGAATGTCACTATTAAGTCGGGTTGCCCCCAGAGCAGATGATGCTAAACCCTAAATGTGGTCTGGCCGTGGCAGATTAGTAAGGGAGGAGTTTCTCCCTCAGATCTGGACTTGACACCTCTACTATCGATGCCTGTGAATACTAACTTCAAAAGATATGAGGTGCTGTTAACTGTTGCTGTTTTTTATGCTAAAATTTCAGCAAGTATGCCTCCTGAAACAATCTTTTAAGGGGAGCCTTATGAGAAAAAAGAACACTTGCTCACCTTTCACAAAAATTAACTCAAAACTGATCAAAGACCTACTTGTAAAATGCAAACTATAAAACTTCTAGAAGAAAACAAGAGAAAATATATGTGGCCTTGGGTTTGGTGATGTGTTTTTAGATACAATACCAAAAACATCCATGAAAGAAAAAAATTGTAAGTTGGACTTAATAATTGACTGTTCTACACTGTTAAGAGAATGAAAAGACAAGCCACAGACACATATTTGATAAAGGACTAGTATCTGAAATCTATAAAGAACTCTTAATACTCGACAGTAAGGAAGAAAGCAACCCAAATAAGAAATGGGTAAAAATTGGAACAGACACTGCAACAAAGACATATAGGTATCAAATAAGCATATGAAAGATGCTCAGCATCATTTGTCATTAGAGAAATGCAAATTAAAACAATGAGATGCCACTACACACCTATTAGTATGGATAAAAATTTTTTAAAAACTGGGCAATGGCAAAATGTTAACAAGGATACAGAGCCATAGGAACTCTCATTTATTGTTGGTGGAAATGCAAAATGGTACAGCCATTTCGGAAGACTGGCAGTTTCTTACAAAGCTAAACAGTCTTACCATGCAACTCACCAATTGTACTGCTAGGTTTTCATCCAACTAATTTGAAAACTTACGTCCACACTGAAACCTGTGCACAAATGTTCATAGCAACTTTATTCATAATCACCAAAAATGGGAAGCAACCAAAATGTCCTTCAATAGGTGAATGGATAAATAAGCAGTAGTATATCCATACAGTTGGAATACTATTCAGCAAAAAGAAAAATGAAAAAGAAATTAGATATCAGGCCATGCAAAGACATGGATGAATCTTAAAAGCATATTGCTAAGTGAAAGAAGCCAGTCTGAGAAGGCTGCATACTGTATGGTTCCATTTATATCACATTCTAGTAAAGACAAAACTATAAAGATTATAAACAGGTTAGTGGTTGCCGTAAGTTCAAGATTGTAAAGGGTTGAATAGGTGAAGGACAGGGAACTTTTTGGAGCAGTGAAACTATTCCATGTGATACTGTAATGGTAGATACATGACACTATACATTTATCAAAACCTAACTTTACAGCACAAAGATTGAACCTGATTATATGCAAATTTTTAAAAATCAGTTAGGATATCATGGGATCCCAAGATGGAAAAGAGAGCGTGATAAAATAATCTAACTCTGTTGCAAATGTGTGGAATAACATCACTGAAAAAGATGGAGGAAAAAGTGCTGATATGAGTAACTTTGGAAATGAGTCGAGTCTGTAGAAATAAAGGGAAAAAGAACTGTACACAAGCACCATACTCTAGTTGATAAAGTGTTTCCCTGCAGGTTAACAATCCAGAAACCACTATATATGTACACTGGAATTGAACAATTAAGTAAAGGGCTGGAGGTTGGTGGGAGCTAAGTTTCTCACTGTTGGAGTGAGAGATTGGAGACAAGCAAGGGGAGGAGGCTAGAATGATCCATGTGGTAATGGATTATAGTTGGAGACATCAGTGTGAACTTGTCTTTAGTTTAATATAGATAGAGCTAGTTACATATAGAAATATTTTTAGATATATGTATATGCATGGGTTAGTATATACACATATATTTCCTCGGTTTGTTAGCCGAGAGAGCCTAGAAGCAATGATACCCCCGTAGCAGCAAGCACACCTGGTGTCCAGGTCTTAGTCTTTAATCGCCAATAAAATGAACCAGGACTCCTTGGAGAAATGGATGAAACTAGAACTAGGGCAGGAAATATACAAGATGAGCCCAGAGGGTCTTATAGTGACAGAAAGTAAGGAAGTGTTGTAAAAAACCCACAGTGATAGAGGATATGTTAAAAGGATACAGGAGACAACTGAAAGAGCTGCCAATGGCCTGAGCTAGAGTAATTTGAGCAACCAAATAAATTAGGTAGTATTGAGTTATAACCCAAAGTATAAAATAAATATCCATAGTCCATCCTGATATAAGTAAATGATTGATTGAGTAAATAAACAGAGAGAAAGATAAATCCCCCATGCAGAAGAATTCCAAATAATTAACATAGATGCTTGACTCCCAAGGAGGCAGTGTAACTCCCCACTCCTTAAGGCTGTGCATAGTGACTTCCTTCCAAAGGGTACGGTGTGGAAAGGAGGGTGGAGAGAACAGATTTATCGTGGAGAAACCTGGCGAATGCTACCTCAGCCAGTTGATTGAAGTCAACATCCACAGTGAGAAATTATGTTAGTAGTGTTTATTCTGGATAAACACTCCATGGTCTTCCTCCAAAAAAACCTATAACTCCAGTCTAATCATGAAGAAAACATCAGACACATCCCAGTAGAAGGACATTCTTCAAAATACCTGACCAGTACTCAAAATTGTCAAGATCATCAAAAACAAGGAACATCTTAG